GTGTCTACTATTACAAAGATGTTTAAATAACCATCATGTTATGCGCGCACATACGCATGTTGCACCATCATGCAGATGGAGTACACATATATGCATGAGCGATAAATATATATGTATTATTTAGCCATCATACAAAATATTCCCTTAATAACAACTTATACAAAATGGTATAAGAAATGAGTTGCTGCTTTTTAGCACCAGGGCTATGGCGTGACTGTTTTGTATCAGAATTTGGGTATTTAAATAGGTTAGGTACCTACGTAATAATCACCAAATAGTTTGGGTGTTCTTGTTTTCCGTAATCCACAGGTGCTTTGATGATCGGAAATGATGTGATGTCCGCTTCTGGAGCATTTGCATTCAGGGTTGATGTCGTCTATGCATGTTGCAGTATTTGGTTGGAATTGAGGTGATCGTGGCACACTTTCTAGCTTCCTCTGAATCATCAGGCTTGGTGTGATTGAGATGTGTACCATCAGTAGATACAGATTGCCCATCTTCTGTGTTGAGAAATTGTTATGATAAGTGTATCCGCTTATAGTTTTAAACAAAAAAATGGGTTAAAAATATCACATAGAAAAATTGTCATGATAAGTTTGTTTATAAAATTCTGTTAAAAAAACTATATTGAAAAATTCTGATAGAAGTTCTAGTAATAAGTTATGTTCCGTAAAATGTTATACATAAAAGTTGTAATTATAATTTTGGAACATTCTAAAAATGGAAGTATTCATTCCATTTGCCCTCTTCGGTGGCTCGCCAAACATTAAGCTCTTTTAGTTTGAAGATGTGCTTCCATAATCACTTTCCATCGACGAAAAACCGTGCCATCGAAGTATGGAGCCCTATCGGTATTCATCCCACCTCCCGACATCGTATGCTCACTAAGCCAAATGCTTACAAATGAGCCGGTTTCACAAATATGCCAATTGAATGGCTAGCCTTGTAAAAGGAGTGAGCATAGGCTCTGATACCATTTATAAGGTCCTGTGTGCACTCCAGAGGGGATGAATTATGTGCCAAAATTCAAACATAAAACTAATGGCTTAAATTGAGCTACCACTAGGAAAACATAAACTACTCTAACAAGATGTGCACTTAAGGTTTTTCTAGTGTGCTATAACTTACTCTTAACCCAAAAGGAGTTCTGCAACCTAGAGAAATCCTATCATCTAGCCTATAGCTAATCTTGGGAGATAAAGGTCACACCAGCAAAGCACATGCAAAGCAATAAACGTGATTAGTAAAGAGCTAAGCATAGAAAGGGCAACCTCTCTGAGACGCGACGGTGTAACCCGTGGTATCAGTTGCCAAATGGCAACCCATAGTCCACATTGAAGCTTCATCAAGGTATGCTCGGGGTCACCAAGTCTCTTTCGATCAAGGTTTTGGATTAGCCATGCAAGGCTCCCACCAACCAAAGGCCAGTGCATGAGTTACGATGCCTCACCACTACCACCCGGCTCTTTCAGTCACCTTGATGTTGTGTACACTACGGAGCTTCTACACACAAGGGAGCGGGTCTTCTCGTCCCCCGCACACCAATACGATGCTGCTATGCATGAAGAATGGAGGGTCGCCACCTGGAAGGCCCCCACGCCTTCACCGAAAGGTCACAATGACCTCAAGCATTTTGGCTCGTAATGATACAAAGGCACAATACCCCAATCTCTCAAAGATCTCAAGCTCTAAGGACTACATCTCATAAGAATGAACTATAGTGTCTATTCTAGCCTTAGATGTGTCTTGAATGTCTTGAGAAAGTGGATGGAGTGTAAAAACACTTGCTCTAGCTTCTATCGGCCTTTGGGTACTCCAGCACACTCAAGCAAGTGAGGCAACCTCAGATATATAGTCCCATCCCCATGAAAGAGCCGTTGAATAAAGTCTGATAGTTTTCTATAGTGCACCGGATAATCCGCCACTACCAAAATATGCCACACTGAATCATATGGTGCTACTAGCTGTTGGAACTAGCCGTTACAGTTTTCCAACCGCCGGACGGTCCGTGCATGTCTTTTCTTCTTCCACCAGACCATCAGTGTAGGTAAACTCCTCTCGCCAACTCAATGATGTGAACCGGATGATCCGCTGATGTGCACTTCCTTTCATTGAATCATCTGGTGTACACTGTTGCATAGTGTTACAAAGTGGCCATGCCTCTAGACTCCGTCGAATGATCCACCGACCTTCTACCTTCACGCTGGATCATCCAGTGAATGCTCCAGCGCATTTTTTGGTGTGGAATATTCCTCTGAGGCGCTTCTGTCTTGGTTTGTCGAGCGGCATCTTTCTACTTTGGTTGAACTATCCATTCCATTGATCAACACAGTGCCTTGGCACTGAGTTCGGCTGGACTTCAAACGCATTTATCTAGCATGTGTGAAACCCTGACCGCTGAACCTTCCCCTTGTGCTTCTTCTGCTCCACTAAGACCTCTTTGCACTGTTTCTTTGCCGATCTTCATGTCTCCTCTTTTCTTTGCATCCTTAGGACCAATTATAACCTATTTAACACATATTTAACATATATAAATGTTAGTTCTAGGCTTGTGCTATCATCCAAATCATCAAAAATAAAAGATACAATCATGTTCACATGATCCTTATAATGGCAATGGTGACCTGTCACTCACCTAGTTGAACAACTCCACCAAGCACACATAAGTGGAAGGAAGAGCCAAGGCAGCAATAGAGATCGAGGAAGGCAATAAGGAGCTCTCTGCCAGACCCGAGCTAGCGACGACCATGGATCGGCTGCTACTCGACAAGCTGGCCAAGATGGGGCCCTGCACGAGAGATACTATGCACAAAGCATGGCATCCTGTTCGACCACTCCACCACCGAGCGCCTACACCGGAGCGTTGAGTCATTGCTGCTGATCGTCCTAGGCCTCGGCCCGCATAGCCAGTGCTTGGCCGGGGAGCTCGGCGAGCTCACGACGTGGGTCAGGGAGTTGCTCGACCAAGCCCGCCGCGTCCCTGAGATGGAACATGTATTGCACCGCATAGCTGGTGCGCCAGATGGACACAGCCGACCTTGAGATTGTGCGGTGGCTGTAGTGCCACGCCCCCACATAGATCATTGGTAGTGTGCACAGGCTCCGTCATGGCTGTGTCGATGAGATTGCCGCCGTAGCACAGCTGGTGCCCCCCGCCCTATCCATCCCCATCGCGTTGCCGCCACACTACGGCATACGTGCCCATGCCGTGCTGATGGAGCCACCGCTTGCCAAGGCCGCCTTCGTTGTTATGCCGATGGAGGTGCTGCCGCACACGGGCATGGCTATGTCAATGTCGATGCCGATGCGTTCGGTCTTGGGGGGCGGGGAGTGGAAAGAAAGAGACTAGTTATAGCACAAGATCCGAGGAGCAATAGTTAGGCAGTGGCCATGGCTTGAGGAAGGAATCTGGAGGAGGAAGAAAATGACCAAAGTGGAAGAAAGGAGCAAAAATGTAGAGCATATTATAAAACCAGGATTTGAAGAGACGTGATTCATATGAATGGCAAACAGTGCAATATTTCTAGACTGTTGGAGATTGTCTGAACCCTTCCAACATTTTTTTAAGAAAAACTTCATCTGTGGTATGATTCCCGTGTGAGCGGTACGCCGGTATCTTTGTTCGAAGACCATATTGCCGAAGTATGAAGGCGGTCTGGGAGGCGGCCGTGGCGGCGACGACATTGATGGTTGCCGTCGGCGTCAACCTTACTCTGGAGCTGCGGTATGGATCGGTTTGTTTATTCTCTACCTATTTGCGAGTCGGGTACAGATTTGGTTATCTCCTTTGATGGGTAATAGGTTCTGCTCTGCCTCCGGATCCCCTTTGCTAGCAATGTGATCCATGGCTTGCAACTCCAGATTTATCTGCTTTAATTTCAAGCGCGACAAGAGATGGCCGATCCATGTGCTTAATTTCATATGTGTCTAAGGTTGGAGTCTCAACAGAAGCAGGCATCGGCGAGGTTGACGATGATTTGAGGGGGACCATTGTATTGTATTTTCCTGTTTCTTACACACATTAATTAAATATATGATCTGCCCATTCGAAAAAATGTGTATTTCAATTTTCAAGTTATAATAACGCCCCACAATTTTTCATCATGTTATATAAACCATGTTTGGCTTGGTTCGCTACTGATATTTTTGGCTCCATGTGGATGACAGCAGATCAGGGCAAGGTGGTAATTTCTCTGGCCTGGAATAATAATAAATTAAATAAGTTGCCAGTTTGGCCGGCACTTCCAGGAAGATTACATAAAAGCCTCTCTCTGTTCTCCTCTTCTCTCGCGGGGTTTACTTTTTCCAAGCAGCAGAGCAGATGCATGGAAGCTCAGCAGAGGAAGTGTTGTAGCAGAATCAATTTGAAGTAACATGTTGATCCCCGAAATCGAGACTTTAAGCCTGTAAGTAGTCACGCTCTCTTCAGCCTTTTCACTTTCCTTTCATCTTTACTGGTTCTCTGATTTTTCTCCCAACAAACCGCAGGCGAGCGTGACTTCCTGGCAAGTCATACTACATCTGATCTGCTACCCATCCCCAACACGTACAGCATCGCAGCCAGCACTTGATTGACATCAGGCACACAAAGGTAATCAAATGTAAGACATAACCAAACATCAGTCATATATACATCCCATCGTGTTGTATTTGTTTGCTATTTTACAGCTTTTATTACTTTGTTTTCTATTAAGGTGCACAACTATTTCGCCAATGATTCTCTGTTTTAACCACTGCACTGGCATGTCGAAACTTCATTTGTCATATTCATTATCCTCTCCTGTTGTGGCGAGGAAATATTCATCTAAAGTAAGGTTCAGGGTCAACATATTCGTTTTCTATGAAAAAGAAACTGACAAATATTTGCTGTATTCACTTCCTTATTGTATTTATACTTTCTACCAACATTAAAATCTGACCAACATGCACTTTGCTAATGCTCAACACATCCACTGTTTGCCTAGGACAGAGGACAAAACAAAATCTTCAGTTGAGTAAATATGAACACAGCCATCAGTGTCATTAACGGCCTCAATGAGTGCGCGAATTTGTTCCGGTGGGTTACATCGGCCAAATCATCTCTGGAATCCAAGTGGAATAGAACACAACAGGAAAAACTTCAAGGAGAAATACTGCAGTTGCAGAGTGACCTTCAGTCCCTTAGTGATACTTTACCAGTAATGTACAACCTCATTGATCGAGCAGAGTGGAGGATCCATGATAATTGTGTGGCTGACCTCCTTTTAAAACTCAAAGATGCAGTGTATGATGCGGAAGATCTTCTAGATGAGTTCAGATGGTACGAGACAAAGGTTTCAATAGAGGGCAATGCGATCTCAGTGGAACCTATCATTGATTTCTTTCACAGTGTCACTCAAGGCAACTTCAACAAAGTGACTGATATCCAGAAGAGGCTCACACATATTTCAGGCCAGCTTGAGAAAATGGGCTTACTTCAAGCAGTTCCACGGTTTGACAAATCACTTAGGCCCGAGACCACCTCTTTCCCTACTGAGGCAAAGATTTTTGGTCGTGATAAGGAAAAGAAGCAGCTGATCAGGTTGCTTGGTGTACCAACAAATAATAGCACGGATCCTTCCAGATGTAAGAGAACAAGAAGTGGAGTTCCAGTTTTGCCAATTGTTGGAATTGGGGGTGTTGGAAAAACCACCTTGGCTCAAGATATTTGCAACCATTCAAAAGTGAAACGTCACTTTCACCTGATAATTTGGATTTGTGTCTCAGATGATTTTGATGTCAAGAGATTAACTAAAGAAGCCATAGAACAATCTTCTGGGGATGTGCCAAAAAATGATAATCTGAATTTTCTTCAGGGTACTCTTGCAAATAGCCTGAACGCTAGAAGATTCTTACTTGTCCTTGATGATATGTGGAATGAAAATGAGCAGGATTGGAAGCACTTCTGTGCACCTTTCAGAAATGTACTTCAGGGAAGTATGGTTCTTGTCACCACTAGATCTCCAAAGGTTGCTGATGTAGTGCGTACGATGGATCCCTTTCCCATAGAGGGTTTGAAAGAAGATGTCTTTCGTGAGTTCTTTAAAGTCTGTGTGTTTGGATCTGATAGCTCCAATGATCCTGAGTTGGAACAGATTGGTGAGAAAATACTACCAAAGTTGAAAGGCTCTCCTTTAGCTGCAAAAACCCTTGGACGGCTGCTAGGAATGAACCTTGACCTAGCACACTGGGATAGAATTCTCAAGAGTCAGCTATGGGAGCTTAGACAAGAGGATACTGACATTTTGCCGGCTCTTCGGTTGAGCTACATGTATTTACCATTCTATTTAAAGAGGTGCTTCTCATTCTGTGCTGTGTACCCAAAAGATTACAATTTCAGAAAGAAAGATTTAGCTGAAATTTGGGTGGCAGAAGGCTTAGTAGAACATCGACATACTGGTGATCAGTACTTTGAAGAACTTGCACATCTGTCATTTTTTGAGAAGTATCCACGCTCCCAAGAGAAATATGTAATACATGATTTAATTCATGATGTGGCACAACTGGTGTCAAAGGACGAGTGCTTCATAGTGAAAGACACTAAGGATCTTCCGAAGATCCCTCAGAATGTCCGCCATCTGTTGGTGCTCAAAGGCGGAGATGTCCAGTGCTCTGACTTATTGAAGCATGACATGGCACAGCATAAAAAGCTGCGCACCATACTTTGTGACCTGTCTTTAAAGAGTAAAACTGGTAACACTATGATGGAGAAATGGTGCACTGAACTTTTGTGCATGCGTGTCATGGTCTGTTCTTCTATCTCTAAGTGGGGCTTACCAAGTAGTATTAGCAATATGAAGCTACTTCGGTACCTTAAAATCCTCGACTCGAGCCTTTGCAAGAGCCTTCCTTCAGAATTATGTTGCCTCTATAACATGCAGATATTTTATGCTACGAGATGGAGCATTGATGACATTCCTAGCGGTTTTGTTAAGCTGATCAATCTTCAGAAATTTGAGTCAAAGAAATATCAATTTCATCATGAAGAAGGTGCAACTAACAAAGAGCCGAGAAGGCAATTGAAGTTCGTAAACCAGAATGGTGAATCTCCTCCACGTGGATTTCATGCACAAAACATGCCAGATATAACTTCACTTGAGCTTGTCACTTGGGACAATGTCAACAGTATATCATCTTCTATGAACTCAGAGCAAATCCATAGTCATCACAGCAATGATAGCACCTTCTCGTCCCTAACTGATGTTGTCATTGACTGTTGCCCAAACTTATCAAGCCTCGAACAATTTCTACAACCTGCTTCTATGCCTATCATCAAGAAAATAGAAATTTCAAATTGTAGAAGTTTAGAATCAGTGCCAGCTGATAGGTTTGGAGATTTGCATTTCCTTGAAGTACTGAGTGTGTCCATGTGTTCAAATATAAAATCACAACGCCTGTTTGCTCCATCCCTAAAGAAGCTGTATCTGAGAGCCTCTGGGGATCTTGGATACAAGATTGAGTGTAGTTCTCTCAACTTCTTGCATTTATCATACAACCCTCTTCAATCCATCGAACTGCAAATGTGGAATCTTCCGTTACTGCAGGAGCTCGAGATCAGTTATTGTTCTTCTCTGACAATCATTAAAGATTATGTGCTTTCCCTTGGCGGGGCCGGAAGCAGAATGGTAAGGTTCCCAAAACTCACTCACCTAACCATTCGGCACTGCTATAAGCTTGAAACTATCGATGACCTCATATATCTCCCTGCCATTGAGAGTATTGAGATTTCGACCTGTCCCTTGATGTCCCTGCCAACTAATAGATTCGGAAGTTTTCCTCGTCTGAAGGATTTGGAGATTGTACGGTGCGAAAACCTCAACTGGCATTGTGGAATGTCATTACCATCGTCCCTCCAAAAGCTCTGGTTAAACAGTTGTGGGGATTTCTCTGCCTGGTTTCCCAGTTGCCTGGAGAACATCACCTCCCTCGAGTCACTGAAGATTATTCTGTGCGAATGCATAGTGTCCATTCCTGGCGACCTGTGGAGCAGTAATCTCAAATCACTTAAGAGTTTGGAGTTTCATAATTGTTCAAAGCTTAAATCAATTGGTGGACTGGACGCAATTGCACACATAAGAGATTTATATATTTCTCATTGCCCAGACTTGAAGGAAATTAACCAGCCACTGAGGAAACGCGCATCCTTCTAGATTGCGTGCATTGAGAAAGTGGGCTCACGCTCTTTTTCTATGGTATGTATGCCACTTGTTTGCAGTATAAATTATGGTTACAGTTATAGAACTATGTTAGGACACTTGTGAGTTTTACGATATGTCATGTTTTCATGGGTCAGATCATATATATGTCTTAGCCAGTTATTGTTACTCTTCAATTGTTTCTGAAAAGCATAGCAGTCCCACTATTACTTTCTGAGTAACTCGGTGGGTTAGTTCTTGAGTGTGCATACATTTTTCCGTTATACTAGCCAGAAGAATAATAGTCTTTTTTCTTTTCCCTGATCGTGTTGTCTTGTTGATGACACAGCAGGTGGAAATTAAAGATGGTTGAGATGGAGCAAATATTGCAGTGCAGAGCTCGAAGACCCAACGAGAAACAACGAAACATATATCACTTCTCCCTTCCATGCAAGATGACACGAAAAACCATTCAGATATTGTGCTTTTGTCATATGCCTAGTGTGTTATTCCTATCTTTTAGCAACTCCGATCCTGTTTTCCATGCAAAATAAGTGGGGCAAAACACAAGATAATTTTATCCTCGGTTAAGCTCTTTTTTATGTCAATAATGTAATATAATGCACTGTATTACAATCATATTTATACGATTGCAACATGAGAGCGTTGCACGCTCCATTAGTTTTGTTGGATGTGTTTGGTTTTACTAATTTACTGGAGAGGGGCCAGAGCTAGAGTAGACTCTGAATCTCAGCTAGAATTTCCAGACCTATTTTAGAGGCCCGTCGAATGAGCACAAAGGTATCAAATAAGAGTGAAATCTACGCCAAGCCCCTAAAATTATCTGTAAGTGTTAAGTTCCAAAAGTCTCAATATGCATTTCTGAGTCCCTGAAGTTTGTTCGGGTCCCATCTAGATCCAAACGGATATTTAACCAACCCGGTAGCTAACGTGGCATGCCGACTCAGGTCTTACGTGGATCTGACAGATGGGACCCATATGTCAGCAGCAAAGCTTAACCTTAGAAAATCATATCTTTTTCATACAACCTCGCACGAATATGATTTTTACATGAAGACGGTAGCTCTCAATGAGATCTATAACTTTCTAGTTTTGACTTTTTGATAAAACTTTCTAGTCTTCGGTGGTGAAAGTCGTTGGTGATGGGACTGTTATCACCATGATACGGCTACGAGATTCATGTTACCATCCGATGGTGACGGATCGTTAGTGATGGGAACAGTTATCACCGTGGCTATGAGGTTTGTGTTACCAACCGACGATGATGGGGCTTCCAAAAATCCTACAATCAGGCAAAAAACATAATAAAAATAAAAAAAATAATCCCAGGAAGCACCCGGTTTTATGGACAAACCCAGATACACATCATATGTGAGTCCACGAAGTCAAATCTCACATATAGGTACAAATAAGGGTAATATCAATGGACAATGCTTAAATACATAACGTATTAGTATAAAGAATATAACCCCAGAGTATAGATAGCGGAAAGACAACTCCGATCTTCAGGCGAAGACTCCAAATTCACAGGGACAACTGACTGGTTGATCACAAGCCTAATTCCTCCAAACTCTAGTAATCTGATACCCATCCGGGATTTTTCCAAAGATTTAAAAAGTAAAGTAAGCGTAAGTACATGTCGTACTCAACAAATATAACATGGGGTTCATGAGGCTCAAAAAACTGACACTGGATCACTGCGATTAGCTTTTAATGGTCACAATTTTAGCAATTGAGTAATAACACGTTTATCACAAGCCCATATAAACACATGATCAGGTAAACATGAATAATGAATAGCATAAACAGTAATCATTAGTGAGCATCTTCATCATCAGTATTATCAGTGTTCATCATCTATTCCATAAATGTTCTAAAGCCGCTCGTGACCGTGAGCACGGCTGATATACCAGTTTTACACTCTATAGAGGTTGTACACTTTCACTGTGAGTCATGATTTACCCTTTCGCCCGAGGTAGCTAATCTCTTGACCCACTTCCAAGGAAGGTCGCCAGAGTTCATTATGAAGCCTTTCAAAGGTTCGTCTAACAAGTTAGGGCCATTAGATTTACTCGGCAAACAGATATAGGAACCCTCCTATCGAATGGCACAATTCCATCACGGCTATACACATAAGAGTAGAGGCTGTCCTATACCCGATTCGTTAAGCCATTCTTACGCCAATAAAGGTAACCACTAACAAGCTAGAAAAGGTCCTCATACTGAGCTAAAGCCAGAGCCATATAGCCCTCACAGCTGTACTGTAGGTCCCGAATAATCACTTACAGATAAGTCCTTAGGGAGAGGAATCTAGAGCACCATAAAACAGCCCAATGCTCTAGCCCCATTGTTCCATATTGCTAAAAAGCATCTTTTAGTGTTTATTGCATATACCATTAGTCAAGTTACAAGATCATGGTTGTAGTTGAGCACTAGCATCAAACTACCCAATGCAATAACACATAGGTATCAAGGTACAAGGTAACAAAGCACTAGAAAATCCTTAATGGCAGTCAAGGTAGACACATGCAATATGAATTAAATGATTAGAGGTGAATAGGTAATAAGGATGGTCCTATGCTATATTTGCCTTAAAACACCGATCTTTCGGTAAGCTTTAATCTTCAACGTTCTTCTTCTTCTTCTTCTTGATCACCACGTATATCTCACCGACTGGACGTAATCATAAAGCACCACACAAGCATCCATACAATCATTCACGAAGAAAACAATAGAACTAAATCAGAACAGTACACCAAATATAAAATCAAGATGAAAAGTTTGTAAAGCGAATCTACGTCTCGCTACGAACACAGACGCGAGAGACACGTTAATCGGAGCTACGGTGAAAAAGATACATCTACCGATAGATTTGCTTTATACATGGAAAAAAAACTATAGGCTTCATTTATTTTAACTATACAAATTCAGATATATAAGATATTTTATAATATAAGTAGAATTAAATCAAATTTAGATTTGAATCATAAAACTAAAGTAAAACAAAACATATTTTATTTATAAAATTCAGTTGCATAATTATTAATCATGATATGATTTAAACCACGAAATTTTAGAAATAGTAATATGGTAAACATTGTTACTAACGCATAGATCTCGTTGTAATGAATCTAACACAACTTGAACGGATCAAATCAGAGCTAAAACGCAGAACATATGAAATAAATAAGATTTTCTTTATTAAAATAATAGATTAAATCTAACCTCGAATTTTAAAAGTTGAAAACATATCTAACAGTAGTATAAACATGTAGATTATGGAATTATGAACCTAACGCAAGTTGAACGGGTCAAATCGGAGTCAAAACGGAGAAGTTATGGCCTAAAGAAAACTAGTGGCAAAACTGTAAATAGGCGAAAACGTATTTTCAATCTAACCGAAACAAAATACGCTTTCAGAAGAAGAAAACGAAATCTATAAAGACGCTAGGGAGTGCGGGTTCTATAATTAAAACCCTGAGGGACCTTTTTGCAAAACAGCTGGGCCGAACCGGTATCATTGAATACCGGCCGTTGGATCCCGATCCAACGAGCCAGAAAGGATCAGGCGGGGAAGAAGACGGTGGCGGCCGGCCAGAATAGAACAGGCGCGGTGGCACCATGGCCAGAACGGCAAGAGCTCGCTGGAGACAAGGGTTTAGGGCCTATGGTGCTCGGTTATTCGAACAGGAAGGTCCGGGAGAGAGAGGGGGCGACGGCGGGCTCACCTAGGGTCACCTCGGCAACGGAGAAGGAGCAAGGCGAGCATGGGACTTGACGAGGTGGCGGCTCTCGCGGCGGCGCTAGGGCTGGCTACCTCGGCTCGAGCAGGGGCAGCGCTTGCTATCGGGTTGGAGGCGGCGTAGGCTCGGGCGGCATTTAAAGGAGCGCGGGGACTTAGGCGGCACGGCACCGAGGCGTGGCGGGGTCGGACACGGGCAGCGTCGGCGCGGTGGTCTCCGGCTTGGTTACGTGACGGAGGTAGAAGAACGCCTGACGGGTGGGCCAGGCGCGTCAGCGGGGTGGAGGGAGAAGGGACTCGCGGCACGGCGCAACCTAGGCCGAGCAGAGCTGGGCCGTGCGGAGCTGCGCGGGAGATGGGCCAGCACGGGGGAAAGCAAATCCATGCGGGACAGGAAGCGCGGGGCGCTGGCCCAAGCGGGAAGGGAAGGTCGGCCCACGGGGAGAAGATGCTGGGCCACGGGAAGAAACGGGCCACAGCGCGGAAGCAAGCCTACGGGCCGTAAGCGAAAGGGAGGAAATTTTCCTTTTTTTTATTTTCAAAACCAACTCAATGTAAACCAAATCAAATTTGAATAGGATTTCAAATACACTTCTCAATTCAAACATAAATGAGAAATTTTGGTAAGTTTCCAAAAATAAATTTTCTCAACTTCTTAAATCCTTTTATTTTCAAATTTTCTTTTCCTTTATTTTCTTTTACTTCAAAGCCATTTTTAATTTCATTTGCAAAACAATTTAAACCATTTTAAATTTTCAATCAAAACCACTCAACTAAATAAATCAAATGCAAGGACATGTATGCTCAAACATGTTGCTACCTTATGATGAATTTTAATTTAATAAAAAAATTATTTGGCTATATTTCATGAGCACAAAATTCAAAAATAATTCATTTTAAACCTATTTTCAGAAGAGGCAAATTTTAGAGTGTTACAAAGCCCCACTAGCTAAAAAAATTACTATAAAGGCGCCTGGAATGCCTCTAGCGACCTCTGGCATTCCACCTCTATAAATCAAAGATAGCGAATTTGCACCCCAAAAATTGCAAAATTATTTTAATACTGTGAGACCTCACAAATCATTTTTTCTTGGGAAGTGTGGCCGCGGGGGCTCAAACCTGTGACCTCACGTCTCGCACGTATCTTCTCTAGACCTCTAACCACTTCACTCCCAATTGACTTATGTCCGTATTAGATATTCATCCTCCTTTGTTTATCTTCATCCGATTTTGAATGAGTATCTGGGACCCTAAACGAATTTAATTAAAAAGTTGTCGTCTACAAAGTTGTATAACTTTTATAGATCTACAATTTTGATTTTGGTTGTGTCTCTATCTATGGCCATTAGAAAAATTTAAATGTCAAATGTGAGAAATTCAAACGTAGTTTTTCTTACATACATGATTTCAAATGAAAAAATATCAATTACCACTACTACAGAAATAATTTTCAGCAACAGGGGCTATTTTCTCGGAGCTACTAGATCGAGTGTACATGGTAGTTGCGGCTGTTGCGCCTTCTATTATACTCCCTTCATTTAAAAAATATAATTTTAACTCAGGACTAAGTTAAAGTATTTTAAGTTTGGCTAACTATCTACACCTAATAATATTAAAGAGCAAGATTTTATCCTACTTTTTTGTCCACCTCCTCTTAACTAGGGGATAGTTTAGTACAGCTCGCATCAAGCGATGATTGATATGGAGTTGGATTTCAAGATATATTGGGTCGTGCTCTGTGTATCTAATATGTGACCTGGATTTATGAGTCGTGCTCATAGCAGTTAGAACAACTCGCATCTAACGAAGATACAGAGTCCGATTCTAATATATATTGAATTTTGCTGCAACGCACGTACACATTTACTAGTAAAAATGCCAATAATTTTGATATCAAATAGGTATCATTAGATTTGACATGAGATATTTTCATACTATATTCATTTAGTGTTATAAATATTAATATGTTTACCTATAAATTTGACTAACTTTTTGGATACATTAACCAAAAATGCACAAAGAATTGCATTTTTTAAAAATGCACAAAGGTAGTATATGAGACGTAGGGGGTTCGAGGTATGAACATATAGGCTGAATTAATATGGACCTACATATATTAGTTATTAAGTGATCTTTTTATCTATGGATCATTGTATCAAGTTTGCTAAATCCTACGAATTAATTATAGATCAGTTGGTTAGGTTCCTTGTGGTGGAATCTGTCCACCCAAGTTTAAGTCCTGGACATAACACGGGTGCTCGCATATGTGTGTTCATAGGGGTGAGTGTGCGTGCGTGTTGTGTGCATCTACGTTGTACTGTGTAATTCCCCAAAAAAAATGTGCTAAATGTTTCTTCGTTGTAATGCATGGGCTTTAATCACCCTGTTCGCTTGAACTACTTTTCAGCTAATGAATAGTATTTTTCTCTCACAATAAATTAACATAAGTATCAGCATAAACTAAATTTTAGCATAAGCGAACATGGTGCGCTCAGTGACAACAGAGGTGTTTAACTCTGTGGCATATAATTTTCCAAACATTTGCCAGACATGGGTGCTGTCAGTGACAAAGTGGACCATGACCCGATCATTTTTTTTTTTTTTTTGCCAACTGAATGCATCTCTTGAACTGGCTGATCTGTGGGCCCAAAAAAACAGAGGGCACACTATCGCTCTCTGTCTCACCTATCCCTAACCCCATTGGCTGAGAAGCTCTAAAAATTCAGGCCCGTGTGATATAGGAAATGTGAAAAACAAACAATGAAATTCACTAAACAAATTATTGATTTTGCTATATTTATGCCTTGATTGGGATCCTTTTTTTCTTTTTGTGTGTGTGAAAAAAATCATACTCTACGTTGCTTTCAAAGCATGAATGCACATAAGTTGAAGTTAAACTTAACTGTCAACCGAACCTGAATCCTTGGAAAATTCTTAAAAGTCAGGGTTAATTATAGGAAATGTGGAAAAAATAAACAACGAATCAACAATGAAATTCACTGAATAAACGATTGATTTTATTATATATATGCCTTGATTGAAATCTTTCTGAGATAATTTATGTGAAAAATTCGTACTCTGTTGCTTTGAAAGCATGAATGCACATCAAGTGAAGTGTTTTATCATAACGAATTTTCTGAGATGACAGCTCTAGCAAGAACAAGTGCTCTGTTTCTTGCAACAGTAACAAGCTGGCGAAACAGGGGATTCTGCCCCGGAGACGAGCTAGCCGGCGGTCCATCGGCCTTCCCGGCGGCGCCGGAGAGAGCGGGGACCCCGGATCTCGCTGTCCGGTAAAACATACTAGGCTGCTAGTAGCTCGTAGCAGTTTAGGACTAGTTTTCCTATGGCGGTAGATCCGTCCGGTCCAGTCCAGTCTGGGGAGTTGCTCTGCTCCGAGATCCCTCGCCATCCGACCTGCCAGTGACGCGTTTCTCGGCGTGCTTTACGGTGCGGAAGCACCCTACGGCATGGGCGCAGTGTGGGTTCTGTACCTCCAAGGCGGTCCTGGACTGGAGACGACCGCGGCGGCGACGCCGTCCGTAGGTGCCGTCAGATGCGGCGTCAACATCACTCTTGGTTGGAGGTTTGTTTATTTCTCTTCATATTTGCGAATTGGGTGGAGATTTGGTTATCCCCTTTGATGAAGAGTAAAAAATGGTTTCTGCTTCTGCATCATTTCTAGTGGGCAATGGGATCCAATCCAATGCTCGCAAAGTTGACAGTAGCAACGTCAGATCAGGGCAAGGTGGCAAGTTCCTTTATCTAGCCTGAAAGTAAAACTAATTCAGTGGAAATTGAAGGATACACGGAAGACCGCACTAAGGCATTTCCAAAGCCTCCAGATAGAGTTCAGATACAAAACGATCCACTAGCCACGAAGCCTCTCTGTTGTCCTCTTCTTTCGGCTTGTACCTTTTGTAAGCATCATGCTTGGCAGGTCACAGGGAATGTTTTAGCAGGACCATTGAAATAAAGAAACATGTCCATCACTGCAATCGAGCCTGTAAACCGACAACTGTCGGTTCGGCCTTTTTCACTCTCTCTTTACTAGCTACTATCTGGATTTTCTCCCAACAAGCCATGCACAGATGAGCGTGTGCTAGCTCCTCTCTCATCTCGTTCTCTCTTCTCTCTTTGAAGCTTTTTGTAAGAAGCAGATGCATGGAAGCTCACAGGAAGCGTTGATGCAGAACCATTGAAGTAACATGTAGATCCCCGTCGATCGAGCCTGTAAGTTGAGAACTCTCTTGCTTTGGCATTTCCACTTTCCTTTCGTCTTTACTAGTTATCTGATTTTTTTTCTCCCAACAAACCACGTACAGGTGAGGTGAGCGTGCCCTCGATCCTGGTAGCGAGCCATACTAAATAATATCTGCTAATCATCTCCAACACAGATCACAGGCAACACTTGGTTGACATCATCAGGCACATAAAAAGGTAATCAAGTACTAAGACGTAACCCAATAAGCATCAGTCATACATCCTGTCGTGTTGTATTTGTTTACTATTTTACAGTTGTTATTACTTTGTTTTTCTGTTAAAGGTCGCCAAGTATGCTCTGCTTTAACCATTGCACTGCTCTGGCTGTTATTAATTTGTAGATGGGATAGTTTGGATTGCTGAGGCATACTGCTCTGGTTACCTAATCATTAGCAAAAAAATTTCTTGGGAGAGGATGGGAATGTATTCATCCCCTGCTGTCTTCTGGCAATCCCCTTTGTTGAAGCAGATCCTACCTGTGACCTATCCCGTCTTCATATTTTCTGTCTATACATCTCAATAAGGGGTCAGTCCATCTCTCCTAAAATTTTATTTCCATTTTTGTTCACTAGCAAGCAATGTCTCAGATGCTTGCTCTTGCCTTTTTCATGGTTGCTCACTTGCTCTGTTTTCATCCTATGGTGGAGTTTAGAACTCTTATCAATAATCATTATAAATTTGGATACTGCATATACTTTATATTTTCTTTCTGGTATCTGAGTGATTTTTTTGTAATATATTACTGTTACATTTATATTTTCCATTTATATTTTTTTTTGTAGTATCAAATGTGATTTATCTAGAAGTTGTCATTTTTACTCAACAAGAATTCTTTGTTTATTCCATCATTCGTTTTGATATGCTTATATTGATTCATACAAAACAGCTCGTATCAATTTGCTAGCCCACAATAGCGCTGGTTTCTTGTTCTCCTGTATGCATTTGTGAGAAATTAGTTTTCAAGTTGGAGCACCCACATTTGTTTTTCCTATAAAAGTGCTCAAGTAATCAGGAATGGGTAGTGGAGCTACTAAACGTGAAATATTGGAGAAAAAATTGGAGAAAAGACTGCAGGATCCAAAAACAGAACCATTAATATCTTTGCCACTAGATTTTTTGGAAGACATCACATGCGGTTTTTCCACTGAACGAGTACTTGGCACGGGTGGGTGTGGAGTCGTATACAAGGTATGTCCATTCTTCTCTCACTCCAATTTCAACCGATGGCAACAGAAAGATAATGAATTGTTTACCTACATCCTATGAAGGGAGTTCTCCGGAGTGGCAAAACTATTGCTGTAAAGAACATTTTTGATAAGCATCTGCTGGACAATGATAACCGATTCGAGAATGAGATCATTTGTCTTACGGAGGTCAGGCACCAAAATATCGTACAACTTGTAGGTTACTGTCTCGAAACCAAGTCGGAAGTGATGGAATATAGTGGGAAACATGTTGTGGCTCAAAGACGTGCATGTTTGCTTTGCTTAGAATTTCTTTGTAATGGAAGCCTTGACAAGCATCTATCTGGTATGTTGAAATACAATACTGAGATATTCTATCTTTTTCTTTTCCTTTGCAAAATTTACCTGATTAGAAGTTTAGAACACACAAACAAATGTGTCATTATATCAACAGCTACAGAGTGATAGATTCAATTATAGTTTCTCTGTTTGTTGATCTATTTCTACAGATGAGACCTCAGGTGTTATGGTTGGCAGAGTCTATAGACGCCGTACTGGCTAGGTTCAGCCGTGTGCCAAGCTGGGACAGTTGGTCACCAGGGGCGCACAGGCTGAGATATTTAGAGTTTGGGTTAGTTTGGATTGAGGTTATTAGAGTTTGGTTAGTTGAGATTACAGAGTCATAAAAGATAGGGATAGTTGGTTAAGTTGAGTCCTATATATATTAAACTCTATGGATCAATAAAGATTAGCCTGGGATTGAGTTATCTCACCTTGGGCCCCCGGGCGTTACTGTTCACGTCATCTATTGTCTTCTACTTCCAGCCAGGCGCCGAGCACGGCGCCGCCAATTCGTCGCCGAGGTTTCAAGCCCCGGCCTTCCACCTTCCACTCCTACAATCTCAGATCCGTGAGTCATAACAACCTGGTATCAGCCAGGTCTGCTCCTGCGGGTTCAGCTTCCATACCGCCCCCCACCTCCGCCGCCACCACATCAGTCACCGCGCCCGTCAGGTCCGCCGCCATAATCACCACGACGGCGCCCACTGTCTCGGCGACGGTGCCCATGCTACAACCGACTTTCTCCCCGGCAGACCTTGCCTAGGCGTTCCACGGGATGACAGCTGCCATGGGCGCGTTGCAGCGCCAGGTCGCGGAGTTGTCGCTGCGCGTGTCCACGATTGAAAGTCCGCCCTCCTCCTCGACGTTCCAGTACGGGCTGCCGGGCTATGGTGGTCTCCCTCCGCCGCCAATGTCGAGATCGGGAGGGAGCTGCCGTTCTCCCCTCCGCCTCCTCAGATCACGCTGACAACACCGATGGCAGCCAGTTCCAGTCCTGGGGGTTTGTCGGCGCCGCCACCGTCCCAAGGAGTGCCGATCACGGAGATCTCCTTTCCGTCGTCCCCGTCGCCAGTACCTACGCTGTCACAGATCATGCAAGGTTCTGGATCACATGGCCGTTCCACGTCTGCCCCCATGCAGTCGCCAACATCAGTGCATCAACGGCCTTCAGAGTCTGATCAATCAGCGGTGCCGCACTACCACAAGCTTACGTTCCCGTGTTATGATGGGGCGGACGATCCGTTGGGCTGGTTGCTGAAGTGCGAGCAGTTCTTTCGGGGACAGCAGACCCGAACGGTCGATTGGGTGTGGCTCGCGTCTTTCCACATGACCGGCAAGGCCCAGATGTGGTATACTATCCTCGAGCGGGACGCCGGGCGGCCAACATGGGATGATTTCAGCCGGCTTTGTCAGCAGCGGTTCGGACCTCCTCTCAGCACCAACCATCTCACCGACTTGGCACGGCTGCCGTTCTCATCGAATGTCGAAACTTATCTGGACGTGTTCCAGGCCAGACTGGCGCATGCAGGCCGCCTCTCGCCGGACCAGCAAGCACAACTCTTCACCGGCGGCCTTCCTGATCATATCCGTGTGGATGTCGAGCTCCACGATCCGCGCGACTTGCAGCAGGCAATGCGCTTAGCGCGCGCGTATGAACGCCGGAACGGGCCACAACACCTGGCTCTACCGGCACCACCGGCGCGCCCTGGTCGCCGTGCCTTGACCGCCGCCACGGCGTCGTCCTCAGCATCAGCCGTGGTACCGGCCACCTCAGGGCCATCGCCGCGGCCGTTCAAGAAGTTATCGCCTGAGGAGATGGCGGAGCGCCGCAAGCAAGGCCTCTGTTACAATTGCGATGAGCAGTATGTCCGTGGTCACAAGTGTGCCCGCCTGTTCTATTTGGAGGCCTCAGATTACATTGTGGAGGAGCCAGATGACAGCGATGATTCAGTACACTCCACAACAGCAGCAGCAGAACCGCCCCCGAACGACCCCGAGGCCCCGCGGATCTCGCTTAATGCCATCACCGGCATTCGCACAGCAACAACGATGCAGCTCTACATTCAGGTTGGGAATACATAGCTTGTCGCTCTCCTGGACTCCAGGTCTACGCATAACTTCGTGCGCGCGGACATCAGTCGCCGCATTGGCCTCCACTTCCAGCCATGCCCGGGTGCGGGCGTGCTCGTCGCGAACGGAGACCGCGTCGCATGCAGCGGCCTCGCCATAGATGTCGCCATCAGGATTGCAGATGAAGTGTTCACGGTGGACTGTTATTCTATTCCGCTGGATGGCTACGACATGGTCCTCGGCATCAAGTTCCTTCGCACATTGGGTCCAATCTTGTGGGACTTCGACGACCTATGCCTGGCTTTCACAAGGGCAGGTCACCGTGTCTTCTGGAGGGGGGTCGGCTCCACACGGGATGACGTTCAGTCGACGCGACTACATGCTGTACAACCGGACGGACCGGCCCTCTTACAGAACCTACTGTAGGAGTTCGACGACCTCTTTGTGGAGCCGAAGGGGCTGCCGCCGGCTCGACGTTGTGATCACCGTATCCACTTGTTACCAAACACAGCACCCATAGCAGTCCGGCCATACAGATATCCGCAGCTTCAGAAGGACGAGCTCGAGGCCCAGTGTGCTGCCATGCTAGATCAAGGGCTCATCAGGCCGTCGACTTCGGCGTTCTCGGCTCCGGTGTTGTTGGTCAAGAAGCCGGATGCGTCCTGGCGCTTCTGTGTTGACTACCGAGCTCTCAACGAGTGAACGGTTAAGGACAAGTTTCCCATCCCAGTGGTGGAGGAGCTGCTCGATGAACTTGGCGGTGCACGGTTCTTTACGAAGTTGGATCTTCGTTCCGGTTACCACCAGGTCCGGATGCATCAAGAGGACATCGAGAAGACGGCGTTCCGAACACACCATGGCCACTTCGAGTTTCTGGTCATGCCGTTCGGCCTCACCAATGCGTCGGCAACGTTCCAGAGCCTAATGAACGCCGTCCTCCAGCCCTTCCTGCGTAAGTTTGTCTTGGTTTTCTTCGATGACATCTTGATCTACAGCCCGTCGTGGACAACACATCTCCAGCATGTAAAGGCGGTCCTCGTAGCGCTCCGTGCACACCAGCTGCGGCTCAAGCGCAGCAAGTGCTCGTTCGCCGAGCCCTCGGTGGCGTACCTCGGGCATGTGATCTCGGCTGAAGGTGTGGCCATGGACGTCAGCAAGGTGGACGCAGTCACGACATGGCCGCAACCGCGTTCGGCGCGCGACCTGCGCGGCTTCCTCGGGTTGGCAGGCTATTACCGCCGGTTTATCAAGGATTACGGCGCCATCGCGGCGCCCCTGACCCGGCTTCTTCGGCGCGACGCGTTCAACTGGTCGGATGAGGCTATTTTGGCGTTTGACGCCCTCGAACGGGCACTGTCTACAGCGCCGGTGCTGCAGCTGCCGGCGTTTGACCGACCCTTTAAGGTGGACTGCGATGCTTCGGGATCGGGATTCGGCGCTGTTCTTCATCAGGGCCTCGGTGCGATTGCCTTTTTCAGCAGGCCCTTTGCGCAGCGCCACATGAAATTGGCGGCATATGAGCGGGAGCTTATCGGCCTCGTGCAGGCCGTGCGACACTGGCGACCATACTTGTGGGGGCGCAGTTTTGTGGTGCGGACCGACCACTACGCACTCAAGTTTCTACTGGACCAGCGATTGTCGACACCGCTGCAACATCACTGGGTGACCAAGCTCTTCGGTTATGATTTCACAGTGGAGTTCCGCCCAGGTAGCTTGAACACGGTGGCGGATGCTCTCTCCCGCCGTCACGCCGCCGCCGCAGCTGTTCTTGCTATCTCTGGTCCGTCGTTTGAGTTATTTGATGAGCTACGAAGAGAGGTGCAGGAGAACCCAGACTTACGCGCCCTCCGAGACACGGGGGTCAGCCAGCGCGGCGCGCCATGGCGCGTGGTCGACGGGCTCATTCTTTGCGGCAACAGGGTGTTCGTTCCAGCTGGGTCGCCTCTGGTGCCCACGGTGCTGGACCTTGCTCATTCGACAGGCCATGAGGGGTTCCAGAAGACGTTGCAGCGCCTACGGTCTGAGTTCTTCATCGAGCATGATAGCGGCCTGGTCCGTGATTTTGTCCGCTCTTGCGCCGTGTGTCAGCAGAACAAGGTGGACTCCCTCCGACCAGCCGGCCTCTTGCAACCCCTGGAGGTACCTTTGCAAGTGTGGGCAGACATAGCTCTTGACTTCATTGAAGGGCTTCCGCGGGTGCATGGAAAGAGTGTCATCCTAACTGTGGTGGATAGATTTTCGAAGCATGCTCATTTTATACCCCTCAACCACCTGTACACAGCTATGTCAGTGGCCAAGGCATTCTTTGAGGGCATCGTTCGTCTCCATGGGTTCCCCAATTTAATTGTCAGTGATCGGGACCCGGTGTTCACAGGCCACATTTGGCGAGATCTCTTCAAGCTTGCCGGTGTCACGCTCAGACTCAGTACAGCATTCCATCCACAGACGGACGGTCAGTCGGAGGCGGTGAACAAGACTATTGCTATGTACCTCCGGTGTATCACAGGGGACCGACCGCGCGCATGGCTTGAGTGGCTTTCTTGGGCAGAGTATTGCTACAACACATCCTATCATTCAGCCCTCCGCACATCGCCGTTCCAGGTTGTGTATGGTCGACCACCACCAGCCTTGCTGCCTTATACTGCTGGTTCATCCCGCACCGATGGTATTGACGCCCTCCTGCAGAACCGGGATGACTTCCTAGCTGATGTGCGCGCCAGGCTGCTACAGGCTCAGGAGTATGCCAAGCGCCACTATGATCGCACTCATCGTGCTTTGGAGTTTCAGGTGGGTGACTGGGTTTGGCTTCGCATCCTTCATCGCCCTACGCAGTCGCTGCTACCGGGGCATCGCGGCAAGCTCAGCCCTCGGTTCGTCGGGCCGTACCAGATCGTCGAACACATCGGCGAGGTGGCATACCGCTTGTCGCTCCCAGCTGGAGCCAGGATTCACGACGTATTCCACGTCGGGGTGTTGAAGCCGTTCCGAGGTCCTCCACCGTCTGCACCGCCAGCTCTGCCTCCGCTTCACCAGGGACGTCGCCTGCTCCAACCGGATCAAGCCTTGCGTGCACAGCTGCGTCGCGGGGTCTGGCATGTGCTCGTCCAGTGGGCAGGTCTTCCACCAGCGGATGCAACATGGGAACCACTCGAGGAGTTCCGCGCCGAATTCCCCACCTTTCAGCTTGAGGACAAGCTGTTCGCCGAGGGGGGGAGTGATGTTATGGTTGGCAGAGTCTATAGACGCCGTACTGGCTAGGTTCAGCCGTGTGCCAAGCTGGGACAGTTGGTCACCAGGGGCGCACAGGCTGAGATATTTAGAGTTTGGGTTAGTTTGGATTGAGGTCATTAGAGTTTGGTTAGTTGAGATTACAGAGTCATAAAAGATAGGGATAGTTGGTTAAGTTGAGTCCTATATATATTAAACTCTATGGATCAATAAAGATTAGCCTGGGATTGAGTTATCTCACCTTGGGCCCCCGGGTGTTACTGTTCACGTCATCTATTGTCTTCTACTTCCAGCCAGGCGCCGAGCACGGCGCCGCCAATTCATCGCCGAGGTTTCAAGCCCCGGCCTTCCACCTCCCACTCCTACAATCTCAGATCCGTGAGTCATAACATCGGGCCTTGATTGGGACGAGAGATATAAGATAATTACGGGAGTATGCAGAGCTTTGCATTATCTTCATGATAAACGTCGTATTGCTCGCTGGGACCTTAAACCTCAAAATATACTGATGGATGACACGATGATGCCAAAAATTGCGGATTTTGATTTGTCAAGGCTTTTGAGTCAAGAAAAATCCAGAACTGTCACTGCAAAGCTTCAAGGAACGCCGTAAGCTATGCCTCTTGCTGATGCTTCATTTTTTTACTATTTCCTACCGTTGATTATGCTAAATTCTTCTGCAGTGGATATATGGCACCAGAATGCATAGAACAACGATCTATCTCCTTTAAGGCAGATATATTCAGTTTGGGTGTCATTATCACAGAGATAATCACAGGTCGCAGGGACTATCCCAATATCAGCGAGACAACTGAAACATCTCTCAAGCACTATACAAAGTAAGATCAGTATTATTACATGCTGTAATTTTCTACCTTACTTATGCAAATGTCTTTTTCTGATAAATTACTTGTGCAAATGTTTAGGTGGTTGGAAGTTGGAGGAACAAACTTATAGAAATAACACCCATGCATATGTCACCAGAAATGTGTATCCAACAAGTGCAACAATGCATCTCTATAGCCCTGAAGTGCCTGGAACCTGAGTCGAATAAAAGGCCTACTTCACTGGACATAGTTCAAAGTCTAAATGCAGTAGAACCAAAATGTACATCTCCTGGAAATCCCCCCAGTGTCGTTGAGAAGGTATGATCTCTCAATATGCACTGCACCTCTCCACACTTAATTTCATAAGACTGTCCAAATTAATATGCATGTCTGAACAAAATAACCACTCATGCTCCATTTTTCTGATCTTAATTAGTGTCCTCTTATAGATGCAATGCATTATCTATATCTGTTGTTAGAAATTAGCCTGCACAGCGACAAGTTATTCACTAATCTCCATGCGCGGAGGCATCAATTGGATTTACCCAGATGAACATGCAACATCGATCACATATGACACCAGCGGCTTGATATTTGTTGACGAGGTCTAGTCGGGAGCCCCCGAGTACCGATTGGCGCCCTCCGTCTTGGGATTCCAGTTGGCTGGAGCACCCCTAAGTCGTGAGTGCCGTAAGGCAATTGGCTTGGCTTAACCTGTCTTTGAGTGCTGATTGTTAGACAGATATGTTGGCCCGCCATAGGCGCCTGGGCTTTAAGCCCATCACGGTTTCTATAGATTGATTCTACTCATAATATGCAAGAATATCTGATAGTGGTCCTGTTTCCATAAACCACCCTAGGCCATCCTTTCTTATATATGTACATGTATACCATGGCCTATAATCAATCTTCTATTTTCCCGTGCAATTAAATTACTTTCACTGATAATAGGGTTGGTGAGGATATCTGGGGTTTATGCACTCATCAATCATATTATTTTTCTATGAAAAAAATGTGACATATTTGACGTCTTAACTGCAATATCCTATTTGTACCTTTTATACTAACATTGAAAATCTGACCACAAGATATAATGCTCTAATGCTCAATACATCCACTGTTTGTCCAGGATAGGAGAAACCGGAATCTTCAGAGTCAAGTAAATGTGAACATAATCAACATACCAAAGACCACCAGTGCCATTAACGGCCTGAATGAGTGCGCCCATTTGTTCCAGTGGGTTACATCGGCCATTTCATCTCCAAAACCTCAGCTGAATGAAACCCAAAAGGAGAGACTTCAACGAGATATATGTCAATTGCGTAGTGACCTTCAATGCCTAACTGATACTCTACCAGCAATTGACAACCTCATTGATCGAGCAGAGTGGAGGATCCATCATGATTCTGTGGTTGACCTCCTTTCAAGACTCAAAGATGCAGTGTATGATGCAGAAGACCTTCTCGATGAGTTTAGATGGTATGAGAAAAAGGTTTCTGTAGAGGACAATGCTATCTCAGTGGAACCAGTTATTAAATTCTTTCAAAGCGTCACTCGAGGTAACTTCAACAAGGTGACTGGTATCCAGAAGAGGCTCGATAATCTCTCCAAACAGCTTGAGAAACAGAGCTTACTTCCTGCAATTCCAAAGTTTGACAAATCATCTAGGCCCGAGACCTCCTTTTTCTCCACTGAAGCAAAGATGATTGGTCGTGATGAGGAAAAGAAGAAGTTGATCATGTTACTTGGTGTACCAACAAATAAAAGCTCAGGTCGTTCCGGATGCAAGAGAAAAAGAAGAGTCAGTTCATCAACAAGCAACCAAGTTTGTGCTACTATTGATAATAACGAAGCAACAATAGTGAGTGTTCGAGTTTTGCCAATTGTTGGAATTGGGGGTGTCGGAAAAACCACCTTAGCTCAAGATATTTGCAACCATTCAAAAGTGAAAGGTCACTTTGACCTGATAATTTGGATTTGTGTATCGGATGATTTTGATGTCAAGAGGTTAACTAAAGAAGCCATAGAACAAACTTCTGGGGAAGTGCTAGAAAATGGTAACTTGAATTCTCTCCAGCTTGCTCTTGCAAATAGCGTGAACAAGAAAAGATTCTTGATTGTCCTTGATGACATGTGGGATGAAAATGAGGAGCATTGGAAGCACTTCTGTGCACCTTTTAAAAATGCACTTCAGGGAAGCATGATGCTTGTCACCACTAGGTCTCCGAAGGTTGCTGATGTAGTGCGTACAATGGATTCCTTTCCCTTAGAGGGTTTGAAAGATGATGTCTTTCGGAAGTTCTTTAAGTCCTGTGTGTTTGGGCCTAATAGCTCCAACATTGATCCTAAGTTGGAACGGATTGGTGAGAAAATACTCCCAAAGTTGAGAGGCTCTCCTTTAGCTGCAAAAACTCTAGGACGGCTGTTAGGAATGAGCCTTGAGCTAGCACATTGGGATAGGATTCTCAAGAGTCAGCTGTGGGAGCTTCAACAAAAGGAGACTGACATTTTGCCGGCTCTTCGGTTGAGCTACATGTATTTACCATTGTATTTAAAGAGATGCTTCTCATTCTGTGCTGTGTACCCAAAAGATTACATATTCAAAAAGGAGGATTTAGTGGAGATTTGGGTGGCAGAAGGCTTAGTGGAACATCACACTGGTGGTCAGTACTTTGAAGAACTTGCACATCTGTCATTTTTTCAGAAATATCCACGGTCCCACAAGAAATATGTAATACATGATTTGATGCATGACATGGCACAACTGGTTTCAAAGGACGAGTGCTTTATAGTAAAAGAAAAAAAATGATATTCCTAAGATCCCTCAAAATGTCCGCGATCTGTCAGTGGTCAAAGGCCTCCATATTCAGTGTTCTGACTTATTGAAGAATGACATGGCACGGCTTAGAAAGCTGCGCACCCTATTTTGCCACCTGTCTTTAAAGAGTGAAGCTGATAATACTGTGATGGAGAAATGGTGTAATGAACTTTTGTGCATGCGTGTCATGGTCTGTTCTATCTCTAAGTGGGGCTTACCAGGTAATATTAGCAACATGAAGCTACTTCGGTACCTTCAAATCCTCGACTCTAGCCTTTGCAAGAGCCTTCCTTCAGCATTCTGTTGCCTCTATAATATGCAAATATTTAATGCTACGAAATGGAGCATTGATGACATTCCTAGCGGCTTTGGTATGCTGATCAATCTGCAGAAATTTGAATCAGTGAAATGTCAATTTCATCATATACATTCAGTTGGTACTCTTAAAGGTGCAACTGACCAAGGACAGAATAGTCAATTTGAGCTCAAAAACTATAATGGTGATTTTCTCCCAAACTCAGAGCAGGTTCACAGTTACGACAGCACTAATAGCACTCTCTTGTCCGTGACTGATGTAGTCATTCACAGTTGCCAAAACTTATCAAGCCTCGAACAATTTCTACAGCCAGGTTATGTACCTACCATCAAGAAAATAGAAATTTCAGATTGTGGAAGTTTAGAATCAGTACCAGCTGATAGGTTTGGAGATTTGCATTTCCTTGAAGTACTGAGTGTGTCCAAGTGTCCAAATATAAAATCACGACTCCTGTTTGCTCCATCCCTAAAGAAGCTGTATCTGGAAGACTCTGGGGATCTTGGATACAAGATTGAGTGTAGTTCTCTCACCATCTTGCATTTATCAAATTGCCCTCTTGAATCCATTGAACTGCAAATGTGCAATCTCCAGTTACTGCAGGAGCTCAAGATCAGATCTTGTCCCTCTCTGACAGTTATTAGAGATTCAGAACCTATATCCTCTGACATTTTACATGGTGAGGACAGAAGCAGAGCCATTGATAACACTTTCTTGTCCCTGACTGATGTAAAAATTACAGATTGCAGAAACTTATCAAACCTCGGACGATTTCTACAACCAGATTATGTGCCTATCATCAAGAAAATAGAAATTTCAGATTGTGGAAGTTTAGAATCAGTACCAGCTGATAGGTTTGGAGATTTGCATTTCCTTGAAGTACTGAGTGTGTCCAAGTGTCCTAATATAAAATCACGACGCCTGTTTGCTCCATCCCTAAAGAAGCTGTATCTGGAAGATTCTGAGGATCTTGGACACAAGATTGAGTGTAGTTCTCTCACCATCTTGCATTTATCAAATTGCCCTCTTGAATCCATTGAACTGCAAATGCGCAATCTCCCGTTACTGCAGGAGCTCGAGATCAGTTCTTGCCCCTCTCTGACAGTTATATTAGATTCAGAACCTATATCCTGTGACATTTTACAGGGTGAGGCCAGAAGCAGAGCCATTGATCACACTTTCGTGTCCCTGACTGATGTAGAAATTACAAATTGCAGCAACTTATCAAGCAGGAACAATTTCTACAACCAGTTTATATGCCTATCATCATGGAAATAAAAATTTCCAATTGCAGAAACTTAGAATCGGTACCAACAGATAGGTTTGGAGATTTTCGTTTCCTTGAAGTACTGAGTGTGTCCCATTGTCCAAAGATCAAATCACGACCCCTGTTTGCTCCATCCCTAAAGAAGCTGTATCTGGAAGACTCCGGGAATCTTGGATACAAGATTGAGTGTAGTTCTCTCACCATCTTGCATTTATCAAACTACCCTCTAGAATCCATCGAACTACAAATGTGGAATCTTCCATTACTACAGGAGCTCAGGGTCAGTGTTTGTCGTTCTCTGACAATTATTAGAGATTCAGAACCCATATCCACTGACCTTTCCCATGGCGGGGCCAGAAGCAGTATGGGAAAGTTCCCGTTACTCACTGACCTAACCATTAGCTTCTGTGATAAGCTTAAAATTATTGATGACCTCCTAAATCTCCCTGCCATTGAACGAATTTCCATTCTATCGTGTGGCTTGTTGTCCCTGCCAACTAAAAGATAGGGAGGCTTTCTTAAGGTTTTGGACATTTTAATGTGTGAAAGTCTCAACTGGCAAAGTCGAATGTTGTTACCACCCTCCCTCAAAAAGCTCAGATTATGGAATTGTGGGGATTTCTCTGCCTGGCTTCCAAGTTGCCTGGAGAACCTCACCTTCCTCGAGTCACTGGAGATTCGTGACTGTGAATGTATAGTGTCTGTTCCTGGCCACCTGTGGAGCAGTAATCTCAGATCACTTCAAAGATTGGTGTTTAATAGTTGTTCAAAGCTTAAATCTATTGGTGGACCAGGCGCAATTACACACATAAGAGATTTATGTATTGATGACTGTCCAGAGTTGAAGGAAATTGACCAGCCACTGTGGGGAGGCTCATTGTTGTAGATTGCTTGCAAAAGAAAGTGGGCCCGTGCTCTCTTTGTATACGATCGTGGATGTGTATGGGCAGGACTGCATGCACTGGTGCGTGCCTGGCGTGCCGGACACTTGGGTCGACATCTTGGCGGCACAAATCTTGCATTACTTCAAGCAGCTGGGAAAACGCTGACGCATGGTTGCTTTTCAGTGAATGAAGTTGTGATCACCGGCTCGATCTGCCGTCACTGCTTTGCAAGTGTGGTTTCTTTCAAAACGAAAAGCTAGCCCAAGGTGATAGACTGATAGCTGAAGAATTGGGCCTGTTCGCTTGCTCGTATACGATCGTGGATTATAACCTGGAACAATATTTTTGTCTCAAACCAAACGAGAACAAACAGAACATTATATTTCTCTGTGAATGGGTGAATCCGGATGTTATGTGCACTGAATAGACCAAACGAAGACCCAACGAGAACAAACAAAACATATCACTTCTCCCTGAATGGACGAATCCGGTTCTTACGCTCTTACGGCTGCAACATGACACAAAAAACCATTCATAGACTGTGTTTTTGTTATATGCCTAGTGTCATTCCGATCATTTTGCAATTCTTGTTTTCCTTGTGAAATAAGTGGGGCAGAACACAAACATGCATGGTTACTCCCTCGGTTAAGCACTTTTTTATCTCAATAATGTGACTTAATGCACTATATTACAATCATATTCTACGATTGCAAGAGCTTCGCACGCTCCATTAGTTTTGTTGGGTGTGTTCGGTTTTTCTAATATTTACTGGAGAGGGGCCAGAGCTAGAGTAGACTCTGCGTCCCCTACATCTTGGAAACTGATTGAACATCTCCGTCTCTCCGCTAGAGTTTCCAGATCTATTTTAGAGGTCCGTTCGATGAGCACAAAAAAAATTACGAAAGAGAACACACATGATGTTCTATCTAAGTTTCTATCAGATGAAAGCTTTCTAATTTAAGCAGGCCTAGACTTCTCCCTGTCTGTCCATACCAGATCGGGGAACTGCTATGCACAATAAAGGCTCCGTGGAGCATTGGTAGATGACTAAATTCCATCGGTGGTTAATAAACTTGTCCTATGTTCTTATATAGATCCAGTACTCTTAAAATATAACCTTTTGGCGCTCTAAAATTGGTAGACGATGGAGCTACCGATTATATTAAAAAGGAGAAACTCATACAAGGCAAAACAAAAAAAGTAATGAAAACCCCAGAAGGGCTTGGCAATAACAAAAAGAAACAAACAATAAACTAAAAAACCACCCATACACAGTGGCACCCTAGCTCACGTGAGAATGACTAAGATCGGGGCTGAGCCTTGGACCTATGCTTTGGCGTGGGATAGACTAGGGGATTTCTTTAACCCTAGCCTAAAATTTCGCTTCAACGGGGAGTCGAACCCAAAACCTAAGCAAGAGGCCCTTTCACAAACAATAAACTAGCACATTTAAAAAAACAATAAACTAGCAAGTAAAACAACTATAGACAACGCCCAGTTGGATTGGAACCTCAACTGCCTCAACACAACTCTAAACTGCTACACCACTCTACAAACTGAGCCCTAAAGCACCACACCACCACACGCCAATTACCATGCTGCAGCAGTATCACTCGGATGACAAAGCCGTCGAGCCAACACACCATCTCCCTCACTTGTGCCGTTGTCATTGACGTTGTCCCACACCAATCCAACATCTGCCATGCAATGTTGGCCATCGTAGTCCGCAGCAAGCCAAGTAGGTGATGTCACACCATCGATTCCGCTTGCGCCGCCTATCGGCGTTATCTAACACTAGACTAGCCATGCGATGCAAATCTAGCCTCCATAGTCTGCTGTAAGCCACCAAACTTAAAACATGAGTACCTGCACCAATTATGTCCTTCGAGATCTGATTGTGTGCATTGTAGCTCTCAGCAACCTAGTCGCTTCATTGAAGATGACTGAAATATCAGGGGTTGGTTTTGCTGGGGGAGGCGGGGGTGTGTTATCTTCATAGCAGGGAGCAGGAGGCCTAATGATACATACTTGCGTAGAATCAGAAGCTGTTTTTCATAAACAGTCGCTTTCACGTAGAATGATTTTCGCATCATCTTAAACCTTGCTTTTTAGCTTTTCCAAATGAGTGAAAATGGAGAGATTTTTACAACTGTTTTAAGGGAGATAAAGAGAGATATATTGCATAGTTGTTTTAACATAGTGTAATGAATAGCCGGCTATGAACATTTAGCGCAGTGTTCTTCTAAGGCTAAGACGTGGCTATATATGGCGGGTTAAAACAGCTAAGTTAAACGTGAGTAAAAATAGCGGCATAATGGCTAAAACCACTATTGTTGGCTATAGCAGCACCTACAGCCGTCTATTTGTTTCCTTGTTTTAACCAAATAGTTTACAACTTTATCACATCATATAGCTCACAATAGTTTTTTTACAACCCACAACAGCTTTTCACGCCTCACTATTGAACCAAACAGTTAAACATAGCTTGTGCAATGGCGGCGAGGGTTAGGGTTTATTAGGTCTGTGAGCGAAACATTTAACTTTTTTTTGAGCGATGAGCGAAACCTTTAATTGCCCATCCCCGCGACTTTCTCGCATGGGCCAAGCAGTCCGAAGTGACTACGGGCCCAAATCGAGATTGTTTTGGCCCGACAGCAGCTATCCTCTTTCTTTTAATCTCAACAATTGTCTGTTTTATATTACAATTAAAAAAAACTCTCTAGATTACTGATATTGATATTTATTTTAACTGACCAATTTTTATTCCGCATGTTCTAGTGAGATGAACACACGCATCCTGCCACATGGTCGAGATAGAAATATTGATATTTTGCTTCTTTTTATGTAAGGAAATGTTTGTTTCTATTCAATATTATGTTAGATTACATAATGATTAGAGAATGAATACTTTAGTTTACAATAACTTCACTCTTGAAGCATATGAAATTACTGAAATACAAAGTCCACGAGGATACACTCTACTGTTTACTGTTAAAGTAAGAGAAACATTTTTTATATTAAATACTCAGTTCGGGCCCCCATATACAAGATTCTGCGCATCAGTTGGGAAAAGTTTAATAAAAAAAATGGTGTTTTTGGTTATGCAATTCTTTGTACTCTCATAATACAAAAACATTAAATATTTATTTTGATTTTTGATTGAGTAAAATTAAAATGAATGGAAAAAACTAATCTAGCTAGTGAGGGATTGCAGTTTAGGAGCAACAGGTAAATGGAGAGGCAGGAAATGTGGAAAAACAAACAATGAAGCAACAATGAAATTCACTCACTAAGCCCCCTTTAAAACGAGGGAATTTTTTTCCGTTTCTGTATTTTTTTAAAAAAAAAATGAATTGAATCTTGTGAAATTCCTATTAAATTCCCGCGTTGGAAAGCATCCTAAATTATTGATTTTCAAAGCATGGAAGGCACATCAAGTGAAGAGTTTTATCATAGCGATTATGAGATGACAGCTCTAGCTAGCAAGAACAAGTGCTCTATTTCTTGCAACAGTAACAAAGCTCGCAAAACAGGGGATTCCGCGCCGGCGCCGAGCTAGCCGGGTCCGTCGACTACCCCGGCGGCGCCAGAGAGAGCGGGGACCCCCGGACCTCGCTGTCCGGCCGGTGAACATACCAGGCTGCTAGTAGCTCCCTTAGTTGAGGACTAGTTTCCATGGGCCATGGAGGTCGATTTAGATCAGATCGGTCCAGTGTGGGGACTGGGGAGTTGTTTTGCTGCGAGATTCCTGGCCATCCGACCTGCCGGTGATGCGTTTCTTGGCTTGCTTTACAGTGCTGAAGCGCTCTACGGACGGCATGGGCGCCGTGTGGGTTCTGTACCTCGCTCCAAGACGGTCCTGGACTGGAGACGACCGCTGCGGCCGGCGGCGGCGACGACGTCGTTGCTGCTGTCAGATTCAGCGCCAACCTCACTCTTGCTTGGAGGTTTGTTTATTTCTCTTCCTATTTGCGAATTGGGTGGAGATTTGGTTGTCCCCTTTGATGATTGATGAGTAAAAAATGGTTTCTGTTTCTGCATCATTTCTAGTGGGCAATGGGATCCAATTCCAATGCTCGCAAAGTCGCAAAGTTGCAAGGTGGCAATTTCTTTAGCCTGAAAGTAAACTAATTCAGTGGAAATTAAATGATACACGGAAGACCGCACTAAGGCACTTCCAGGAAGCTTTACATAAAGCCTCCAGATAGAGTTCAGACACAAAAACGATCCATTAGCCACTAAGCCTGCCTCCCTGTTTTCCTCTTCTTTCGGCTTGTACTTTTTGTAAGCATCAGATGCTTGGCAGGTCACAGGGAATGTTTTAGCAGGACCATTGAAGCAAAGAAACATGTCCATCACCGCAATCGAGCCTGTAAACTGACAACTGTCGGTTCGGCCTTTTTCACTCTCTCTTTACTAGCTATATTATCTGTGTTTTCTCCCAACAAGCCACGCACAGATGAGCGTGCGCTAGCTCCTCTTCCTCTCTCATCCCTTTCTCTCTTCTCTCGCTGAAGCTTTTTGTAAGAAGCAGATGCATGGAAGCTCACAGGAAGTGTTGATGCAGAACCATTGAAGTAACATGTAGATCCCCGTCGATCGAGCCTGTAAGTTGAGAACTCTCTTGCTTTGGCATTTCCACTTTCCTTTCGTCTTTACTAGTTATCTGATTTTTTTTCTCCCAACAAACCACATACAGGTGAGGTGAGCGTGCCCTCGATCCTGGTAGCGAGCCATACTAAATAATATCTGCTACTCATCTCCAACACAGATCACAGGCAACACTTGGTTGACATCATCAGGCACATAAAAAGGTAATCAAGTACTAAGACGTAACCCAATAAGCATCAGTCATACATCCCGCCGTGTTGTATTTGTTTACTATTTTACAGTTGTTATTACTTTGTTTTTCTGTTAAAGGTCGCCAAGTATGCTCTGCTTTAACCATTGCACTGCCCTGGTTGTTATTAATTTGTAGATGGGGTAGTTTGGATTGCTGAGGCATACTGCTCTGGTTACCTAATCATTAGCAAAAAAATTTGCTAATCAGGAATGGGTAGTATCAATTTGCTAGCCCACAATAGCACTTATTTCTTATTCTACCGCATTCATTTGTGAGAAATTGTTTCGCAAGTTGGAGCACCCACATTTGTTTTTTCTATAGAAGTGCTTGAGTAATCAGGAATGGGTAGTGGAGCTACTAAACGTGAAATATTGGAGAAAAAATTGGAGAAAAGGCTGCAGGATCCAAAAACAGAACCATTAATATCTTTGCCTCTAGATTTTTTGGAAGACATCACATGCGGTTTTTTCACTGAACGAGAACTTGGCAGGGGTGCGTGTGGAGTCGTATACAAGGTATATGACCATTCCTCTTTCACTCCAATTTTCAACCAATGGCAACAGAAAGATAATAAATGGTTAACCTACGTGCTATGAAGGGGGTTCTCCGGAGCGGCAAAGCTATTGCTGTAAAGAAGATTTTTGATACACATCTGCTGGGCAATGATATTCAAGTCAAGAATGAGATCCTTTGTCTTACGGAGGTCAGGCACCAAAATGTCGTACAACTTGTTGGTTACTGTGTCGAAACCAAGTTGGAACTGGTGGAACATAGTGGGAAACATGTTATGGCTGAAAAACATGCATGTTTGCTGTGCTTTGAATTTCTCTGCAATGGAAGCCTTTACAAGCACCTTTCTGGTATGTTGAAATACAATACTAAGATCTTCTGTCTTTTTCTTTTCCTTTGCAAAGTTTACCTAATTAGAAGTTTAGAACACGCACGCAAATGTGTCATTATATCAACAGCCACAGAGTGATAGATTCAATTATAGTTTCTCTTTTGTTGATCTATTTCTACAGATGACACCTCGGGCCTTGATTGGGACGAGAGATATAAGATAATTTGGGGAGTATGCCGAGGTTTGCATTATCTTCATGATAAACGTAGTATTGCTCACCGGGACCTTAAACCTCAAAATATACTGATGGATGACACGATGATGCCAAAAATTGCGGATTTTGATTTGTCAAGGCTTTTGAGTCAAGAAAAATCCAGAACTGTCACTGCAAAGCTTCAAGGAACGCCGTAAGCTTCAAGGAACAGCGATCTATCTCCTTTGAGGCAGATATATTCAGTTTGGGCGTCATAATCATAGAGATAATCACAGGTCGCAGGGACTATCGCAATATCAGCGAGACAACTGAAACATCTCTCAAGCACTATATAGACGAAGTAAGATTATTCAGTATTATTCCATACTGTAATTTTCTACCTTACTTATGCAAATGTCTCTTTATGATAAATTACTTATGCAAATGTTTAGGTGATTGGAAGTTTGAGGAACAGACTTAGAGAAATAACACCCATGCATATGTCACCGGAAATACGTATCCAACAAGTGCAACAATGCATCTCTATAGCCCTGAAGTGCCTGGAACCTGAGTCGAATAAAAGGCCTACTTCCCTGGACATAGTTCAAAGTCTAAATGCAGTAGAACCAAAATGTACGTCTCCTGGAAATCTCCCCAGCGTCATTGAGAAGGTATGATCTCAATATGCACTGCGCCACTCCACACTTAATATCATAAGACTGTAATAACCACTCATGCTCCATTTTGTGATCTTAATTAGTGTCCTCTTATAGTTGTAGTGCATTATCTATATCTGTTGTTAGAAATTAGCTTGCATAGCGACAAGTTATTCACTAATCTCCGTGCGTGGAGGCATCAATTGGATTTACCAATATGTACATGCAAGATCAATCACATATGACACCAGTGGCTTGATATATATTTGTTGACGAGGTCCAGTCGGGAGCCCCCAAGTGTCGATTGGCGCCCTCCTACTTGGGATTCCAGTTGGCTGGAGCGCCACTAAGTTTTTGAGTGAAAAATACAGCAGGGGAGGCCCCCACTGTGAGATTTTATTAAAAAGCAGAAGCCAGAAATTGTACAGAGGAGAAAGAACAACAAAAATAAAAACCACCCAAGAGGCTGAGGGAGCCACTGGTCAGCTAAGAACTAAGAAAATGAGTCTATACGAAGGAGGAAAACAAAGCGCTTGTCTTCAGACATTCTAAGAGCTTGAAGTCTAGCCTCATCCAAAAAGGAGCATTTCCAGGAGGAGAAAGAGGGTCGTCCTCTGTCAAATATAAAGTTATTTCGTTGCTTCCATATGTGCCGGCAGCAAAGAATGATGAAGATCTCCATAAAGAAGGATTTTGATATTCTTTGTTTCAACCGTGCATCATCATTTGGAAGAAATCACTTTGAAAGTTAAGTGCATGTTCAAGTGTTGCCAAAGAGTTCTGATTGAATGGACGGTGAAGAGGTGGAAAGCAGTTTCCTCAACATTACGATTGCGAGAGAATGCGATTATAGTTATTGCCCTCCAACTTGTGCTTTTTCTTTTAAGAAGGTTCCTTGTGTTTAGCCTATCCATAATCGGGAGCCAGGAGAAGACTTTAAGTTTGTTCTTTGCATTTTGAGTCCCAAATCCACGAGAAAAGGAGCAGGGGCTGAACATTTCAGAGGGGAAATTGTAGAATTTAGAAGATGTATAGTCTTTGCTTCCCCAAATATAGTGCCAAGAGTCTTTTGTATCTTGTTGAACTGTATAGATTGAATGTAGTCTTGCATTCTTTGATATTCTTGATAAGCTTGTTGGACGAGAGGAAGGTGGAATTGTGATTTGGAGGTTGTTGTTTGAAAGGAATTGCAACATAGAAATCTTCTTGTTTTGGCAAAAGAGAAAAGTCTTGGAAACTTGTTTCTGCATGACATTGTCATTCCAAAGGTCGACCGTAAAAGAACGGTAGATCCATCCCGAGTTTGCAATTAGTGATTCCTCTGAAGAGATCACAAAGTTTCAGGATATCCTTCCACCAAAAAGACCCTTTATCCATAGTTGCATGTGGGATGTCACCATTGGAGTAGTGAGCATGCCAAACAAGCTTGACCCAAGGAATCTCTTTCTGTTGTAGAATTTGTCTAGGTGTTTAAGGAGTAGAAGCGGAGTTTTGGCTTCTAAGATTGATGATACTGAGCCCTCCCTTTCTTTTTGGCTTGTTGCATTTTTTCCGTGCCACCAGAGGTTTTATTTTGGCATTGTTGTCGAGCCTCTCCAAAGACATAGTCTTCTGCTTTCTGTCAATGTACTCTATAACTAAAATAGGCGGTGAAGAGTGCACATGGCATAGGTAGGAAGAGAGGACAGGACCTGAGTTCACTAGCTCTAGTCTTCCGGCATGGGTGAGAAAATTTGAAGTGGTTGTAAGTCTTCTTTCAACTTTGTTCATGATGAATCAAAGTGCTCCACTCTCGGCTTGGTGGTGCCCATTGGCAATCCAAGGTATGTGAAGGGAGGATTCAGTTTGCATCCAAAAACCTCACCGGTGATGAGCTTTCTCAAGAGAGAGATTTAGAGGCACCAAACAAGACTTTTTATAGTTAACCCGAAGTCCAGTTGACTGTGAGAGATTCCAGCAATCCTTTTAGAGTGAAAAGTTCCATTTGGGAAGCTTTCATGATGAGAATGGTGTTGTCCGCATACTGGATAATAGGATACTGAGCTGTTTCATAGGAGGGGATAGGGAGATCAAATAGTCCTTCACTGTGACCTCTGTTAATAATTATTAGGATATGTTTATATCAGGATCAATTAGGCTCAATTAGAGAGTTTCCTAGATAGGCTATTTCTATATATAGCCTAGGATAGCTTCCTTGTATAGGTAATAGCTTACCATGTCTGTACTTTCCATGTATGTCTTTTGGCTATATATATGAAAGGCTCCCCACCCACATAGGGTGTGTGGTGATTCTTCTACATGGTATCAGAGACCTAGGTCCTCTTTCCTCCCTCCCTCCCACGCCCAGACCATTCTCTCCTCCCAGGTCGTTATGCCGACCTCTGCTGCCACCAGCCCTAGCCAATCTTCTGGCACCTTGGTCCCCACAGGCACCTCCGCTGCCCCGGCCATCCTCGTCACCCCCTACGCGACGATCTCTGTCAAAAACCACATCCCGGTGACCCTGGAACTGGCCAAGCCCAACTTCAACCAGTGGGAGCCATTCTTCTCCTCCCTCTGCAGGAAATTTGGTCTTCTCTCGCACGTGGATGGCATGGCGGAGGCCAATCCCACCGACCCTGCTTGGGCCATCGCGGACTCCTGCGTTCACGGATGGCTCCTTGGCTCCGCTGGGCCGGACGTCCTCGGCCTTGCTGCGGCGCCGAACCAGACTGCGCGCGAGCTCTGGGTCGCCATCAAGCGTCTCTTCGAGGCCAACAAGGCTCCGCGCGCCATCTTCCTGGGTCACGAGTTCCACTCCATGACCCAGGGCGATTCATCCATCAACGACTACGCCCAACGGATGAAGGCCACCGCCGATGCGCTCCGCGATGTCGGCCGCACCATCACCGACTCGGAGCTCGTCCTCAACTTCCTGCGCGGCCTCAATCCCCGCTTCGCTGGTACCGCCGACAACATCGCTGATTCGCACCCCCTGCCGGACTTCGCCACCGCTCGCGAGAAGCTCGTGCTGAAGGAGCTCCGCCTCGCCAACGAGGGCACCGTTACTGCCTAGACCGCGTTCCACGCCTCATGCGGCACAGCCTGCCGCACCATCTCCAGTACCACCGGCGGTGGTTTCATCGCCGGTCGCCATGGCGGCAACAGTGGCGGTTCCAGCAGCGGTGGCGCTCAGGGCGGCGGCGACGGTCGCTGGAAGAAGGGCAGGGGCGGCTCCCAATCCGGGCTGCACAGCCCTCCCGCTGCCGGTGCCCTCGGTATCGCTACCCTCCCGGGCAAGGGTGCATCAATGAATTTTGGCGTCCCTGGCGTGGGACGTCCCAGGGGTCCTTGGCGCCTTCCCTTCAGCCCAGGCCCACACCGCGCTCGCCCCCGCCCAGTTCTCCGGCACTGCGACCTCCGCTCCACCTCAACAGCAGGGCGGCTGGGATCAGGCCGGCCTCATCGCCGCTCTGAACTAGATGTCTCTCCAGGGGTCCTCCCCTTGGGTCCTCGACACCGGTGCCACGACTCACATGTCGTCCTCGGATGGTATACTTCTGTCCCGTCTTCCCCCTCCTTCAGGTATCACGGTTGGCAATGGCACCATCATCCCCATCACCAGCCGTGGCACATCCATCCTATCTTCCCCTACCTCTGTTTTTCATCTTAACAATGTTCTGGTTGCCCCCAATTTAGTGCGCAACCTCCTTTCTGTCCGTCAATTCACCTGTGACAATAACTGCTCTATTGAATTTGACGCTTGTGGTTTTTCTGTCAAAGGACCAACAGACGGGGCGCGTGATTCTTCGCTGCAATAGTGGTGGCGACCTCTACACCTTCCCCTTCACGCCAGCACACCACTGCAGCCTCGCCACCACTTCGTCCCTATGGCACCAGCGCCTCGGCCACCCTGGTCCATCCAGCCTCGCCACTCTACAGAGCATGTCGGTCATCTCCTACAATAAGAGCTCGCCATGTCTTTGCCATGCATGTCAACTTGGCAAGCATGTGCGGCTCCCCTTTAGTCATTCCACCTCTGTGACCCATGCTCCGTTTGACTTAGTTCATTATGACGTGTGGACTTCTCCCGTACTCAGCAATTCTGGATTTAAATACTATCTTGTTTTACTGGATGATTTCTCTCATTACTGCTGGTCTTTTCCTCTTCGACAAAAATCTGAGGTGCACCGCCACATTGTTGAGTTTATTGCCTACACTCAGACACAATTTGGCGCCACACCTAAATCCTTTCAAGCTGACAATGGGACTGAGTTCGTTCATCACACTACTACTACCTTCCTCACCAACCTTGGCATTACACTCCGCCTCTCATGCCCCTATACCTCCCCACAAAATGGCAAGGCTGAACGCATGCTTCGTACCACCAATAACACCATCCACACAATGCTTCTTCATGCGTCCATGCCACCTCCGTACTGGGCTGAGGCCCTAACCACAGCCACCTTCCTCCTCAATAGACATCCCTCCATTCACAACCAAATACCCCACCAACTCCTTCACGACACCCTCCCAGACTACTCTTCACTTCGAGTTTTTGGATGTCTCTGTTATCCAAACCTCACAGCCACCTCCCACACAAACTTGCCCCTCGATCCGCCCCCTGTGTTTTCCTAGGCTACCCATCCTCTCACAAGGGCTACCGCTGCCTCGACATGGCCACTCGTCGCATTATCATCTCTCGCCATGTTATTTTTGATGAGTCCATGTTTCCATTCTCGGCAGCACCATCGGCGGCTTCCATGCCGTCTTCACTTGAGTTTCTGATGCAGGGACTCTCTTCCGCGACGGCACCAGCAAGCACCATTACACCGCTTGCTGATGCCACCTCCAGCCAGGATGCGTCGCCAGAGCCCCTGGACTCGGCCATCCTCCAGCTGGGCCCCCTGGTTACACCTGCGGACCCTGCTGCTGCTCCCCCTGCGGGCGGGCCCCAGCTGGGCGGCCGGCGGTTCGGCGTCGTCTACACTCGCCGCGCTCGGTCTGCAGTGCCGACCATAGAGGCAGTGGCCCCT